AAAGAAGAGAGGAAGAAAGAAGGAAAGGAAATACAGAGTGAGAGAAAGGAAAGTAAGAGAGAAAGAACTAGAAAAGAAAGAAGAGAAAGAGAAGAGAAAGAGAAGAGAAAGAGAAGAGAACGGGATGGAGCGGAGGGGCAGCGGGACCTGGTGGCAGCGGCGGGCGCGGAGTCGCCCGGGCCGGCGCCCGTGCGGGAGAGGGACCGGGAGAGGGGCCGGGCAGCGCGGGCGCGGGGTTTAAGGAGCGATGGGAGGGGAAGGGGCTGGGCGGGGAGGGCTAAAGGCCCCGGCGCTGGCCGGGAGCGGGGGGGGGGGGGCAGCGGGGGGAGGGGCGGCCCGGGGGGGAGGACGGGGCTGAGGGATTCGGGGGCTGAGGAGCTGAGGACACGAGGGTGGGAGATGTAGGGGATGGAGGTTCGAGGGAAGGGGACTGGGGGTGCCGACCTGAGGGGAGAAATGTGCTCCCTGGAGGGCAGAAAAACGGGGGGAGCCGTGTCCCAGCAGTGTGGGGAGGAAATGTCCTTTCTGTCTTAGCAAACAGGTGGTTTCTGCTTTTGCCTCCTCTCTGAGCTCAATGTCTAAATAAGGCCTCAGACGGGATATTTCTGCTTGAATTTCAGCTCTGACTTGGGCGCTGGAGCCACTATTTCTTCTCCAGACACATCTCCTGTTCCCTCTGGTGCCACACATCCTGCAGTTTCTGTACCTGTGGAAGCATTTTGATGGCTGCTCCTGCTGTTCCATCAGGGATGGATGTCTACCACAGGGAACTGATGTCTGTCCTAAGGTGCAGGTCTCAAAGTGGAACCACAGGACATACAAAGGATGTCATCAGTGCCCATGCATTTATTTAGCATGACTGTAAACATAGTTTCTCAGGTTGCCCAGAAAAGTGGTGGATGCCACATCCCTGGAAGTGCTCAAGGCCAGGTTGGAAGAGGCTTGGAGGAACCTGGTCCAGCTGAAGGTGTCCCTGCCCAGGGCAAGGGGGTTGGAATGAGAGGATCTTTAAGGTCCCTTCCAACCCAAACCATTCTGTAATTCTATGACAAAAGCAGTTGCAATCTGGAGCAGATCAGTGGGCCAGGATCTAGACCAGATTAGGAAGATGTGCCTGTGTTTGCTATAATTTCCAAGTGCAGAATTGAGGTCTTAGGTGTCAGCAGAGCTGTGGCTGCCCAGGTCCATGAATGCCCACACAGCTTTGGTGGTAGATTGCGGGGGGGGGGGGGGTTCTGGTCCATCTGCTACAAGGTAGCAACAAATATGAAACTGCTTTCAGTTGTGTTACATCTCGCCCTCAAGATGAAGAAGCACTACAGATACTTCTGCACAAAGTTTTCAGCTTTGCAAAGAGAACTCACGGACCAAATTCAGTTTGCTATACTTCGGAATTTTCTGGGGAATGTGCATTCAATATTAGATTGCCAAAACGCGCTTTCAGTTGTGTTACATCTCGCCCTCAAGATGAAGAAGCACTACAGATACTTCTGCACAAAGTTTTCAGCTTTGCAAAGAGAACTCACGGACCAAATTCAGTTTGCTATACTTCGGAATTTTCTGGGGAATGTGCATTCAATATTAGATTGCCAAAACGTGCTTAGATTGAGTGGATTTCTGTCCTGTCAGGTGCTTGGAGAGGGCAGCTTTCTGTAACCCCTCTTGCCAGTGATAGATGTTATCTTCATTCACTCCAGTCTCCTCCCTGCTGCTGCCAAGGAGATGAAATGTTTTGGTGTTATCCTTCGTACGTTATTAAGACCAATTCATGGGCACTCTGTGCATTTGTGAGAGACCTGTAAATCTCTCAGTTCCTCCCTTCCTGGGGCAGAACACATTCCTCATATTCTGTGTGGGTACAGAAAGACTTTGCTGATGAAGAAGGATCATCACCTTTGCTGTTCCCTCTCTGGTTTCCTGCAGGGATCTCTATCTCCATACAAGTGAGAGCCTGAGTCAGCAAAGCACTTGAGGTTAGTGTTCGTAGTGTGGCTGTTTAAAATTTCATAGCAGGATTGCATTCTAGGCACAGGTCATTAGACAGTCCATTCAGAGGCATGAAAGAAAACATCTGCGAGTGCACGAAGGTAAGAGATGTCTTGAGGACCCACAACCTGTCTGACCCCTGCCCAGATTTTGGAGTGGTTGCATGGTTTAGTCACATCTCTGTCATCAGAATTAGCCTTCCATTAGTCTACAAAAAACAGATGTAGTATTTAATTCTTCATGTGCATTTAATAAATCTGAGAAGCAATCATCTGTCTCAGACTGTTTCCATTCCAGCATTCACAAATTGACTTAAAAGGATTGGTCGGCCATTGGAACAGGCATTGGAACAAGGATGTGCTGGAATCACCATCCCTGGAAGTGTTCAGAAAAAATGTAGATGTGGTGCCTATGGACATGGTTTAGTGGTGCACTTGGCAGTGCTGGATTAATGACTGGGCTTGATCTTAGAGGTTTTTTCAACCTTAATTATTCTATGAAAAGAAACAGGAGGGCAGAGGGTTGCTCAACTCTAGACCAAGGCAGGAAAGCAAAATTTTTCCTGTAATAGAATGTTACATTTTTTTATGCCAACTTTCTGCATATCTTTTTCTTCAAACCAATTTTTGAAAATCTTTTTCTTTTCAAACCAATATTTGAATAAATATTATCCCTACTTGAGGTCCAATTGTTAAGCCTACAGGATGCTGGTGGTTTTCTTCCTAAAGCTTCACCTTCCCAAGAATTTGTTGACTATAACAGGAAAAGGATCTTGTTACCATCACGTTAGCTTGATCTGCCGTAAGAGAATAAACCAAGTGGTGTGTGGTGCATGTACGATGAATGTTGTGTACAGTAAAGAAAACATAATATCCTCCCTCTGTCTGTTACAGTGGCCTGGTTTGTATTTACATTTTGCAGCAGTTACTATTTCACCTATTGCATATAATAATCATCTGTCAACATACTTACAGAAAGCTCAGTTGTTAAAGTTTTTGCTTCTCTTTACATTGGACCAAGGTGATTAACAGGAAGAAAATCAGTCCTCTTTGCACATATTTTGTCTCCAATGATCTGGGAAGAAGCATAAACTGTTTTTAAGAATATGTAGATGGCAATTCAAACTGCTGTCTTGTTGGGATTTCTGTTGGATGCAGGACTGAATCAGCAGCTCAGAGGGTTATGACAACCATCAATGAGCAGATACATAACTCAATTTCCCCACATTTTTCAGTTCTTTCTGTTCTGATTGTGAGCCTTTGATTTCCATTTTCACCCTGGGGTTAGGAATATAAGAGATGACTGCACTGCATCAGGAAGAAGGTCTGTGTAGCCTGATATCTTATCCTCAGGAATGGATGCCTCAGCAGGTGCGTAGGAAAACAGTAATCATTCCACAATGCTTCCCAAGAATAGCATCTTGGACTATGATTGTGGCACAGGGATTTCCTCACAAAGACATGGTGTGTGGCTTGAACAGCTCACAGTCCTTTCTTCTTTGGTAAATTTACTGGCAACATTTAAATTCATATAAATGCTACTTACAAATATTTTGTGGCAACTTATTCTGCAATAGTTCACTCCCAGGAATTACACAGTCTGCAAATCACAGTGCCTTTACTGCCTGAAACTACTGGTTTGATCACAGATATAACCATATCACCATAACCATCACCACATTTTTAACTCAGTAGCCTTGCTGCAGTTATGCAGAGCTTTTTCTTCTGCATGGTTAGTGGTGTCTCAGGGCTCTGACAGGTTTCTTATATAATTCCCTAAAAATTCTGTTGCAGGCAAGGCTCACATCAGTAGCTGTGTGTTGGTAACTCATAAATTCTTAGGAAACAAGGATTTGCATCACTGGGGAATACTCCTGAGCCTTTTGTGTCTTTATATGTTTTCTCTTGTACGCATTATATGTTATAAGTCCCTAAAGGCTTACATTTCAAGGCATGAAGTTGATTCAAATGGCTTCCTTTTAGAAAAAGTCTACCTAGCATAGAAATGTTTCTTTCTCTTTCCTGCAGTGTAGAATTTTCTATGCCAAAACCTATTAAAAGCAATGAAAGGAAAAGACTTAAGTTCTGTAGTGGAATTTATTTTCTGTCTCGTGCTGCATTATGCCTTGTGTGCTCCACTGCATTATTGCACTGCATGTCAGGGTTTAGTTTCTTATAGGTTTTATATGATTCATGTATCATGACAGTCTGCTATTTTGGTCTTACTTGTTCTTATCTTACTTTGTTATTGTTAGTGAATTACGGGATTTGTAATTCCCAAATCCTGACACATAGATGCTTTCTGTTGGATGAGCATTGCAGGCAACATTTCATCCAGTACTGCAAGTTACAAAGTCATGAATTATGGAATCCTCACAGTTTAGTGAAAAGACTCATAAAGTTAATCTAACAAATAAAATTTCTGCTAATCCTACAGTTTAATTTTTAATAATGGCCCATCTTCGCGAACGAAGATTTGGGGAAAGGTCTTTTTACCTTTCCAGCCTGCGCAATGGATTTTTTAGGTGAGACACAGCCTGCGCTGAACTGAGCCCACCCTTTAATCCTAAGGTTCATCTGCCGGGGCCAAGCAAGCTTGGACAATGGCAGTGAGGTCCTCAGGACGTAGGTTTGTTTAGAGTGTCCTTCTCATAGATGGATGGCCACACAGGGCTAACGACCTCCATCAGGCCAGGAGACCGGGGACTTGAACCCGTGGTCGCAGCAGTGAAAGTCCTGCATGCTAACCACTAGGCCACCAGGGGTCTCTTAATCCTACAGTAATTTTTGCAATAAACCCTTCAAGATTGAAATGGC